GCAGCTGTTGAACCAAATTTTGGGTTTAGTTGCACTCGTACTTTACCACAACATTGATCATTAAGAGGATTTCTTGTAGAATGATAAGTTATTTTTATGGTTTACTATTAATTATTTTATTTAGAATAAGAAAGAAGCCAATAATTTAGCTTATAATTTCCTTCTCTTTTATTTATTTTTCTCAATAGTCTATGGTTATGCTTCTGTAAATTTAGTAATATTGGGAAAATGATATAAATAATTTATAATATAGGGACTGAATGAGAAAGATTGGAAAAGCCAAAGCGCAAAAGTTGAAAAGCTGAGACGTTTGAATGTTTTGAATGTTTCGATGAAAAACTGTACGTTGTTTATGTGAATTTTACCGCACCAAATTTTTTTTTTGTTTGTTCAACAATCACAGCAATGGATTAGATGATTTTTCTGACGGGACATCCCAAATAAGAATGGCTATTCCTATTAGGGTTTTTGTGAATTTTACCACACCAACTGAATCAAGAAAATCCCCAATTCTCCTCTAATTAGGGTTTCAGTTTTCACATTCATTCATCTCAATGTAACTATTTCTCTCATTCATATGGATCTCTCGAGATTTGATGTTATCTTCGCGATCTCATTATTTGATAAAATTGAATTTATAAACCCAAGAGTTGCGAAAATTTGACAATATCAAGCTTTATGTACGTTGTAAATTTCATATGGCTAGCCAAATCTAAAAATCTAGAAAAACTTCATAAAATACATTTTTTATTGTTTTTTTTTCAAAAATATAGTTAAGATCTATTAAACAATACCACTAGCTTACTATAATTTTCTCAGTGAAACATAATCATTAATTAATATTTTTAGGATTTATTTATTTCATGAATATTGAAATTTTCTTTTCGACATGACTATTTCTAAATTCGTGGTATTTATCTCTCAATCATCTACTGATTGTTTATTTAAATCAGATCCAATGTTCATGCGAAAACATTGCTATAATTGTAGATAATTGTATTTCTATAACATATTTACTTACAACTTGCTAAAATGAAGCTTAACGTAAATGTGTTTATAATTTTTTCATGTTTTGAAAAACTATACTATATTGATTTTACTGGAGGTAACTTGGCGAGCAATCTCTCTGTTACAATTAAAATTGAAAATCATGAAAATACGACTTACAAAACACATGTGTTTGATGATAATGTATTTGATATCACGACTTAATTAGTCACTTATGCGCACATATACATATTTGATACATCACCAAATTTCATTTCCAAACCTTTAAGATAAGTTAAGCTAGCTACACTATGTAAACCCTAAATCTAAAAGTTTGAGATTAGAGTCTAGACTAATGATCAGTGTATGTGGTTATAGCAAAACCAACGTCATCAAATAAGTCATAGTTAACCAGAATATAGAACTAGATGC